ACTAGTTATCCTGCTAGTAACTGGTTGCCAGCCCCACGTAACCCCATTTAACCCTCTGAGCCTGACCCGTCAGCCAATTGCTCACCCACAGCAGTATGTGTTTATTCAGCTGTATGCTGGACATTTTATCCAGGAGGATACTGTGAGAGACAGTATCAAAGGCTTTACTGAAGTCCAAAAAGATTACACTGACTGGCTTCTCTTGGTCAAATAGGTGGGTGACCTTATCATAGAAAGAGGTTTGGTTTGTTAAGCAGGACTTTTCTATCATGAACCCGTGTCGGTTGGAACCATTGACTGCCTTGTCTTCCAGGTGTTTTTCAATAACTCCCAGAATAATCTTCTCCATAACAGCTTTATAAGCATTTTTTTCAGCAAGAGAATGTCCTCTGTGGAGTATTGGTCCACGTGCATCTTGCCTCCATGGAATAAGACAGTGTCCTGGGTACAGATTGGGAGACAGTGCAGCCGTACTGTGAGAAAGAGTTTCTAACCTTGGGACAATTTCTTTTAATTTTTTCTCTTCATGCCCCATTCTTCTCTCCTGCTCCTGTTTCTTACTATCAATCTTATTGTCCGTTCTCAGCCCAGCGTGGAGTTAGAACCATGAGAATAGAGTCAGTTGTTTAGAGAGAAGAGGAGGCATTACATATGTAGTAAGGTTAATGGGTGTTACACCTTTGAGTTCAACTTAATGTCAATAATGATTACAGGCCAAAATGAGCTACCCTGTTATGAGCATAGGTGGGGTTTTTAGTCAAAACAAAACAGTTCATGTTTTGCTGTACCCTGGAGTCTCATTCTTGGGTAGGGTTCCTTTGCTTGTTGATGTTTTACTTTGGTTTGTAAACACTGGTACCATAAATGTATGGCATACAGTCACTTGCTGAGGGATGAAAAGAACTGGGGACAGAGTGTAACAGGGAAGTACCATTATGTTTATATTCTTCTGTAGACACTTGCTGCCATAGAGAGAATAGTTGCTGGGGTTGGCGAACCTCCTTACATCGACTTCATTTTTCTGTTGGTTGGCATGCATTGCCACACAAAATGTTAATCTAACTTGTACTTACCTTCCTTTTATTTCTGAATCTTTTGTAGTCAGTGCCCTCTAGGGAGCTCTTTCCACCTTGTCTTCCACTGCTTTGCACTCTACCAGTTGATGCCAACTTTAAAGTTCAGTTTGACTGTTTCTTTCATGCTACTTTTTTTTTCTCTCTCAGCCCTCTTGGTAGAAACATGGCTTGTAAGTCCTCATTAAGGCACAGCAAATGATGAAATTTTAGGTGGGCAGGTAAAGTACCTTTAATGGAGTGTTATGGTTGTGTATGTATAGTCTTTATTCAGCCCCACCCTGTCCTTTCCCTGTTGCCATTGTCGCTTCTTGTTATGTTTCACGATAGATGAGTCAGTTCACCTGCTTCTTGCAATTTTGCTTGTTTTGTGAAATGCCTGTTGGAATTATTATTTACTAAAATTAGCTTGTACTTTTATGAGATGAACTTTTAGCAGTAGCAGCTGGTTTAGTTTGACTTGCTTTTCAGCAGTGAGTTAAAAAAAAAAAAATTGCTTGAAAATCATTTTATTTGTGATAATGATCAGCTGTCCCGTGACCAAAGTGCTGAAGAACTTGTTCATCTCTTGTTGCTGCAATAGCTGTCAGTTGGAATCAGTAACATTCTATGGTTTGGCAAAAACATGCTCAAATGCATCTGGCTTTGCCTTTTGATTTGGGATTGTCACAGATACTGATGCTCCTCTACTTCTATTATACTGATCAGCTGCCAGGATTATGCAGATAGATTATTTTTAATGTGCTCGACTACCTAATTTGTTTGTTTTACAAGGTCAAAGCTAATGTGAAAGTGTATGGTTTTTAAACTTCAAACTAAAATGTATTAACAACAAAATCATTTTCAGTTATAAACTAGTAGCCTGTTGTATTTATTTTTTCAAATGGCTGTAGGCAAACCATGATATTAAAGGCTATATATCTCCATGATATTGGAGATTTTGTTGTAAATACACTATAAAATGCTTTTAATGGTATAAAAATTCTTCATTTTTTGAATTTTAATGCACAAGGTACTGAAACCTACTTTCTCTCTAATGAATTCATTACTTCAGGATTTTTCTGTTCACATAAGGGAATTGATCAAGTTTACTTGATTTTATTTTTTTTCCCATCCCCTCAAAATTAGAGGATTTGACAAGGAAAACCCTGTTGAACCAAGTTCAGCGCTACTCTGTAGCATTACTACTGGCGGGCAGTGTGCTGACCTCCCCCATGGCAGTAGAAGCAGCGGTATCAGTTACTGGCACTAAATTACCGTGAACCTGCCTGGGTTGCTG